AAAGGCGCGATGGCGGCAACTATGATTTCATCGAGTTGACACTTGTCAAATTCATCGGAGAATTGACTGACAAGTTTGTACACGTAGGGGGTAAAGGGTTCCAGGGAAATCTCGTAGACAGAAGAAAGTTCTTGGGATAAGGATTGAATGTCGTTCACAACCAGGGACACTTGTTGCAACCGGGAAATCACTGGAATGTAGGTTAGCATTGTAGTCATGATAAGAGTTACAACATACACTCTGCCTCGTCTTCGATCTTTTTCTGCAAACGAGCAACCTGATTGGTCATTATTCTTTTATTTTCTTCCAGGGCTCGTGCTTCGCTCGCCATTTTTTCAAGGTCGGTTTTACAAGAATCTGCAATGGCGCGGATATTGTAGCGCACTTCCGGTATTCGAGTCGAATCGGCGGTCGGAGTCCATGAATTGATAGATAGGTCGGCGATAGAAGAAACTTCTCGAGGCTACAGACAATTAGCCTAGTGATATGAGGAAGAGACCATTACTCACAATTGCGCCAGTGGCATCGATAATCTGACCTAGCCCAGTTGTAGGGGGTTCTTCACCAGCTTCCGCAAGTATCTCCTCATAAGTCTTATGTTCGACCTTGGTCTTGACCTTTTTAGGACGTTTCCATACGTCCGCCTTTTTCTGCTCCTGCTCCCTGGCCTTTTTCATCAACTTTCTTGTCCGTGGATCTTCGTCATCGCTGATGACCTCTCCTTTCCTCCTAGCTTCTTGTCTAGACTGTTCTGTTTTTTCCTTGAATCCCTTGAACGCAATACCCATTTTCTGCGGTCTCAACTTGCTCTCAACCGGGTTGACGATACCTTCACCGGTAGCACCAAGGCCAGTTCCAAGTTCCCAACCCATCTTTGCCAACATTTTTGCACCAAACGATCCTTGCAATTTGGAGAAGTGTGTGCGCTCCTTTTCAGTGAGAACCGTAGGCGCCTTTACAGGACGAGACTCGCGAACGAAGGATCTTTGGGTTCGGTTGCCGAAGGCAGTTGGAAGGACATGTTCTCGAGGTGGTGTAGCAGCAGCAGACGATGATACGGATTCACTTGTCGGTGCCGTCGCTTCCGTTGAGAGGGTTTCAGAGATGGTGGATGAGGAAGCAAAGGCCGTAAAAACGTTGGCAGACTTTGAACCTATCCCACCCATGCGTGGTCGATCGATCGCTTCTTCCTCGTCCTCCTCTTCCACGCGAACTCTAGGAGATGGAGGCCTGGAGGGTTGAGAATCGTCAGAAAATTCATTTTCCTCTCCGGCCTCCTCGCCTGCAGACCCATCAGCCTCACCGTCTGCGCTCTCTTTGTCGTCCATGTCCGCGTCCGCATCGACATCGACATCGACATCCATTTCCTTGTCCAGATCCACAGGCTTATCTCCGCTTACAAATGCGGGTGCTTTCGTCCAATGTCTCTTGGCGCGGCTAGTATGTGTGTCTTCGTCACTCTCATCTCCGAAAATACCGTATATGGCGTCTTCCTTCTCGTTCTTCCTTCTACGCTTGCGTCGATAAGGATCCCTGTTTAGTTCATATTCTTCACGTGCGTCTAGGTCATTTGAAAAGTCAGGAGCGTCGTCGTTATCTGACACGTCCGAGTCTGAATCGCCGTCGTCGAGGACTCTCTTCCGACGGGCCATAAGCGTGACGTCACTGATGTCACAGGCAATCACTTTTCTCCGAATTAAAGTCCAAGGCGGGAATATTTTTGGCTCTTTGACGTGAGGGACGACTTCGAGAATAGACGGAATAGGTTGACATGCGCTGCCGTTGACGACGGCTCTATTGTTGGTAACGCAAGAGCAACAATTGGGATAACGCTTATTGTTGATCGACTTGCAGTCAATTGTCACCAGACCTCAGTATAAAATCTTAACCGTCTAGCCCTGGCCTTCAATTCTTTCTACATGGCTCGCTCAGCTGGTTTCTGGTCAACCGTGGCATTTTATTTTCTTCTATCCGCTACCCTTGCAGTATGTCAAGCGCCCAGCACCTTTCCCCAGTCCTATCCAGGTATGCCCAAAGGCGATTTTAGCCCCGTTTGGCAGAATTGTATGTCATCCTTGATGCAGCTGGCATAGTTTCCACTTTAACATTGTCCAGACTTCCAAGTTACGCGGCCCCTTCCTAATGTTACTTTCGCGGTCGGAGGCCGCATGTTTGCTGGCAACATTCCCGTGCAACGCCAAGGTCACCCAAATGACACGCTGTTTTTCGTTGGTATCGAGAAAGAAAATGGGTCGCTGACCACAGAGGGCGATAGCTCTCAACCATGGGCAATCTGGTTGAACGGAGGGTCAGTACGTTTCATATGCTCATCATACTGAACACTCATCGCAAGCAACAGGCCTGGCTCCTCGAGCATGTACGGCCTGTTCTTTGAGGTTAGGAAATATGTTATCAAGTCTCGTATTCTCATCTCAAAGCATCGCAGAACGGGCCAATTCGTATCAATAGCGACTACAGTATCTCGCACAATCCATATAGTTGGAATCAATTGGCGGACCATTTCTGGATTGATCAACCTGTGTAGGTTTGGTTCTTAACCTGTTGATTTATCTTATGCCGGTCTTTCACAGTGGTGTTGGCTATTCAACCGCGGACTCAAACGGTTATGGTTCGTCACTCAACCATTCATTTATTCAGTTGTTGACGGCCATACAGCGCTAGACGAAGATCAAGTAGGACGTGATTTTGTAGGTCTAACTTTCTCCTGCAATTATGTTTTCTTGAAGATTTTTAGATGGGCTTCTTGGGAAATTTAGTTAAAGTGTTCCCTGGTTTGGCTAAACGGCCTCTTTATATCACCGGCGAGAGTTACGCGGGCACCTATATCGTACGTGAACATGTTCGCCGTTGTCACCCTGTCTTTACGTGTTTACAGCCCTATATTCTCAAGACATACTTTGAGATGACGAATCCCCCCGTAACAATCTCCAAAATCGCGATCGGAGATGGTACTATACCTGACTCTGTCGTTTTTGAACTCGTTCCTGCAGTATGTCTTCAATCAATTTATATGCATCTTTCATTCACCGTTGCACCAAGTTAACCGTGATCGAAACGTACCCTCAGCTCATAGGTTACGATCAAGATGTGTTCAACTACTTCAAAGAACAGTACGTTCAAGATTTTTTTCCCTCGGCACACGAAAGATGATTCTTACTTATACAGGAGTCATTTATGCGGCTTCGACATCAATCTCACTTATCCTGAGACCAAGCCCATACCACCTGTAAATCTCGCTTCTTCGGGGACTAATATGCCATTTCGTTTGAGCCTTTCGCGGTTCCGTAAGTATTATGCCAAGTTGGAACGCCGCGCCGAAGCCATTTCGACGACACCTTACAAACGACATCTTGGAGAAACGAAACAGTTCGGGAAGCGAAACCTCGCTGGCAGAGCAAATGGAACTATAGATCCATGGGTAGGTGTGGTCCGCTTTTCCAAGTTTGACGATAGTAAACATTTATATTGTATGCAGTACGGTTGTGTCCTCATTGACGAATTTATCGATTATGCGATAAACTTTACGTTTCCCTGGTGTAGGTATGCTTATTCCGCGTATCGTACTTTAACTTACACTTGATAAGCTGCGAGCGGGTTCACAAATAACGGTGAATTTAACGTATATATGCCCGTTTCAGTCATCTCAGCCCATGACTAACCGGGATATGACAGGTGTACGATATTCCTGATTCTCCCATGAACCCTGGTATCAATTCGGATGCCTCTGTATTCCTTAATGGTAACGCCAGTTATCTAAGACAATTATTATGTAGTAACAATATCTGTGACAGATCCACGTACAATAGCAGCCCTTCATGCTCCAACGAGCTTGAACTGGACGTTAAATTCCAATTTCCCATTTGGTGCAGGTCCCAACGGTTCACCTAGTAAGCAATCAGCCGTCAGTATTAGTCAAGAAGCTGACCATATTTTTTGGCTACTTCAGACAACGACCCTAGTAAGGCTACCTTGACGACTGCAATGCTAAGTGTAACTTATTGCAATTTCTCTGTGTTTTCCTAGGTCCTCCGTAAGTAATATCATCGCTCATAGGACCGCGAATTAACCATCCTCCAGACCAATGAATTTCTTCTCTGAGCTTGCAACGAATGCCACGAAGCACTCGATAGGCTTCGTCCTTTACTCGGGAAATGACGATTCGCTTGTTTCCCATCGTAGCACAGAGAGTAAGTTGCCACCTGTCTCTCGTTTTTCGTGACTGACAATACTTGTAGTTGCCATCCAGGTAGAGAAATTCCGCTGGGAAGTCACTTCATGCTCACCCTTCGTGGTAGAACACGACCTTTGGAGGCATTCAAGGATTCACAAGCAAACCTTCGACTCCTTGGTACAATGATGACGGCCAACTTGCAGGCATCGTCCATCAGGAGAGGGGTTGGACGTATGTCCTAATTGACAATGCCGGCCATCTCGTCGCTCAATCATCGCCTGTATCTGTATGTACAAGCCTCTCTAGTTTGTGAAAGGATATTGACGCTTATACAGGCTTTAACGCTTGCCCGCGAGTTCATATTTGGAAGTAATTCCACTGGCCAGGTTACCTCCAGTGGAGTCGTTATGGGTGGAGAAGACTCGAATCTCAAAGGCAATGTCCTACCAGGAAACAGCGCCCTATATCTCGGCTCAACAGCTACGCAGTCGACATATGCATTCCCATCTGCCACGATCGCAGCCTGGGATGCATTTATCCGGACAGCAGATCCGCAGGCCGTAGGCAGTTCCAATATATTTAGTTCTGCTGCTGCTGCAAACAATGCCGCGCTGGGCAGCTCTTGGACGGTTTTCCCGCTATTCATTTCGATTTTCATTTTGGGCTGGACCCTCATCTAACGACCCTTCACGTTACCGACAAAACATATCACGACTAGCATGGACTTGCATACACATTACTGTACCTTTACACTCTTGAACATAAAATAAACAAAAGTATAATACACAAAATAACGAAAAAGAGCATTGGGCCTGACCGGGAATTGAACCCGGGACCTCCTCGATAATAGGACAGAAAACCCTAACAAGGAATCATACTACTAGACCATCAGGCCATGAAAATATATTTACCCCTGTTTCTTCTCGATCCGAAAAAGGCAACAGTGACGCGTTCCGCACTTACGCGTCTTTATCGAAGTTACTGAAATACCGCCATGAGTGGGCAGCCGTCGTCCTCGTCCTCGTCACAAACCATGGAGCCTAGAAGAAGAGATGCACTGAGGGCGTATAGAGAGGTATTAAATATATTTGTCGATGAATTGGGGAAATTCACGGTCCAATTACAGAAAATGCGTCAACATGAAGTTAGCAGTGAGAGCCTGAAGAATCGTAAGCAACGTCTGTTCCGAAAGATAACTGTAGTATTAATCTTTCATTTATGCTCCAAGTTCGCTTTTCCCTAAAGGATCTGGAGAAAGCGTTTGAGAAGACGGAAGATGACATTAAAGCTGTCCAATCCGTCGGACAGATTATTGGAGAGGTCATGAAACAGCTCGATGATGAGCGGTGTGCGTATTTCTGCTGTGCGCGATGTCATGATTAACGGACTTGTGGTGGCGCAGTTATTGTCAAAGCATCTTCAGGACCACGCTACGTTGTATCGTATCGGCCTACTCTACCAGTGGCCAAGCTGAAAGCTGGCACCCGTGTATCGCTTGACATGACGACACTCACGATTATGCGTATTCTGCCAAGGGAGGTGGACCCGTTGGTCTATAAAATGAGCTTGGAAGACCCAGGTGACGCCTCGTTTGCTGGTATCGGAGGTTTGGGTGAACAAGTCCGGGAATTGAGAGAAGTACGTTTTCTTTCCTATCCATACCCTTTATCGACTAATTGTATGGATTGAAAGATTATTGAACTGCCCCTTATGAATCCCGACTTGTTCCTGCGGGTAGGAATCAAACCACCAAAGGGTGTCCTGCTGTACGGCCCTCCAGGGACCGGCAAGACATTGTTGGCGCGAGCAGTAGCCGCAACGCTGCAAACCAACTTCTTGAAGGTTGTGTCGTCCGCAATCGTCGATAAATATATCGGTGAAAGTGCTCGCGTTGTCCGAGAGATGTTTGGCTTTGCTCGCGATCATGAACCGTGTGTCATCTTCATGGACGAAATTGATGCCATCGGTGGTCGTCGTTTCTCAGAGGGGACTAGCGCCGACCGCGAAATTCAGAGAACGCTAATGGAGGTGTGTTAATATTTGTCGTCGCAACATACAACATCGAATTAATTTATTGGATTAGTTGCTCAATCAAATGGACGGTTTCGACTCATTAGGCCGGACAAAGCTAATAATGGCTACAAACCGACCGGACACGCTCGATCCAGCCTTACTTCGCCCCGGCCGTCTAGACCGCAAGATTGAAGTGCCACTTCCCAACGAGCAGGCAAGGCTGGAGATTCTCAAGATCCACTCTGGTCCCGTCAATAAAGACGGTGAAATTGATTATGAGGCCATTGTGAAGGTATAGATTTTGCTATAGACGTGCTTCTTGTCCAAGTTCATACATCGAACGAACAGCTCTCAGATGGGTTTAACGGCGCCGATCTGCGTAACGTTGTCACAGAAGCTGGCATGTTCGCCATGAGGGAAGACAGGTCTGTCTCGGAGAGCATTTGAATAACAGTTCCACTCATGCCTTTTAGGGAATATATTAACCAAGAAGACTTTACAAAAGCTGCACGGAAGGTGGGTGAGGCGAAGAAGCACGAGAGTAAGTTGCAATAAAACGCGCCCATGTTTGAATATTGACTACAATCGCAATAGCCAAAATGGAATATTCAGCGTAGAGCATACCCGTGTACATTAGAGACATATCGAATCTCTTTCATACTTCCGCAAAAGAACCTATGAACGCTAACTGTCCGATTATGGTATATCATCGATGCACTAATCTACGTATAACACAGGAGGCAATTGTTAAAAGCGGAAAAAGCCCTTCTTCTTTTTCTTCTTCTCGTCAACTGATGCAGCGGAATGCAAAGAACTGACATCAGGAGGAGGAGTAGAGCTATTTGCGGAGCCCCTCGAAGCAGAGACTTTGATCGGTGGTGCAACTGGGGCTGCAGGCGCCTCTTTACAGAAGTATTTTTCATCGTAATACTCTTGCAATGGCCGTTCCTCTTCTTTCGGATCACGTAGGCCATTGGGAGTATCGCGAGAACCGACTCCAGCCAACTCCAATACTTTGAGATCGTCTACGAATTGTCGGGGCGTCAATGTGTGAGTAGAACCTAGTACAAGTACAACGGATCAGAAAACCCTGCATCCGCTCTGCAAGATCCTTCATACCTATATAGATATCCTTGTTCAGTGCTGTGGAAAGGAGATAAGCTTCTCGTATCTCGGAATAGGTCATGCCTCCAAAAACGAAGACCATGACGCGTTGCCGAATTTCTACAGAGGTCGCACCAGGCTTTGCAGCCCTGTGCCATGCGGGCTTCTGACTGCGTAGAGAGGTGGTCGGAGACGGTGCTGGTCGCGCAGTGGCAGGAAGCGGTATCATAGAAGGGGCCTCGCGGACATAGGGAAACTCGACCTTGTCGAGTTTGCCTGCGACATGATCCTTGACGGGTGACACGGTAAGGCTAAAGGATCTCACAAGCAACCGGTAATTCTCACCTCAAGCATGCCTCTTAAGGTAGGTTTGAAGCGCGAGAGCTCGTATTCATCTTCACTGATGGGCTTTTGCTTCCTCTTCTTCGTCTCGCGATCAGTTGCAGTCTGGTCAAGACTTAAACTTCAGTCGACGACTCTAAACTTCTATCCCGCTACTCACGCGAGTGATGCGAACGCCCATATGCACAAGCGAGTTGACGGCATCCTGCTCGGAAATGTTTAGTCGAGCATGTTGATATAATCTTCTCTTGTCTTCGTCTGGTACACCATCACGGTATTGGATGTACAGCGCCACGACGCGAACTTTATTCGCATTACTGAAAGAGGGAAGTGAATATGACTTCTTCACATCGAAGTGGCGCTCTTACATGACCTCTCGACTGTCAATCAAAGGCACCATCTCTTCGACCAGCGATTTAGGAGATTTGCCTTCGGCCGTAAGACCTGTTGCGCAGCACTAGATTGCAAGATTGGCCAGTCCCGCGGACGACTGTTTGTGTAGCATACCTGTTCAACATTACCAATAACGGGCAGTTTATCCCGCTCGAAGATATCCATACATTCTTGCGCCATATTCAAGTGTAACGAGAACTAGAATCAAATCATCATTCCGGGAAACTACTTAAAATCAAAAGGTGAATATACCTTTTCGCGTTGTTCTTGATACTGAGGAAGGTTTGCAAGCATTTCTTTCATGTCGTTCAGGTTTGCTGCGCCTTCACTGCAAGCCGCCTTAGTCTCAAATTTTGGGATACAACAAAAACCCGGATTACCCTTTGAATACAGCATTCTCAGTCAGGAATTTGTTAAAATCTGCCATGAGCTTGTCGATAGCTTCTCGCATGTGCAAATGCCGAACTTCCGTCCACACATTGTCCGCATCAGACAACGTTGCTGTCTTATCTTCAAAAGCACCAGCAGATGACTGGAACTTGTACCTTGGAGATGGTTAATACATGGCACCTATTATCTTGGACGCGAAACCTACGTATACTTCCCGTTGTCTATTGGAAGTAAGTCATGCGCCATGGCTTGATAAGTGAACTCGTGGATAAAGGGCGCAAACATATCCATGGAACGATCGGTGATTATCAGCGTTCCTCGGGGTCTTATCGTTTCTGGTGTTTTCTTGCTCAAATCGTGTTAGAAGAAATGATAACTCGTGAAATCCAACGACCTACAGCAAAGTCAGGATCTAGTTTCTTGTGCTCATCGAGGTTCTGCTGAACCATATGTGCCAACAATTTGGTGACATAGTCCGTTTCTGCTGCTTCCCATGCCCGGGCCTCAGAGCCTCGCGCCAGGTTCGTTCTCCAACGAGCACTATTGGGCGCCGGCGGAGGAGCTCGAATAGATGCATGAGGCGTCAGCGGGCCGAGAGGTTTGTGGTTCTGAGGAACATAATACCGGATAAATGGAAACTCATTCAGGGTTATGCATAGGTTTGATATCTGAGAGGCGCGACATGAGCAGAGATGAGAAGGCTGGAAAGCGACACACCGACCATCTTGCTCGCAAATTGGAGATCTTCGAGAAGCCGGACGCGTGTAGCCCTGATCTGTTGCTCATTCCTGGGTGGGCTGTAAGCACTGAAGAATAGCTCGGGCATCTGTATCGACCATGTTTGTGCTTCGAGGACTGCAATAACGTAAATCATAGCAATCGTGATAATTCTCCCGCGTTGCTCACCTGAGAAATTGATATACAACTCCTTCAGCCCTTTCAAATGCGGTTCAGCAGAGGATGAGGTTAAACGCTCAAAGAGAGTTGCGGATAATCCTAAAAGCCGTTAGCCTGCCCTGTTTCTCGGAACCGGCGGAGCGCGAGCCACCTTCGATAAAGAACAGATGTGCCGCGGCGTACTGCTTTCGCTGTCCAAAGTCTCGGATAACGCGGTCCACGTTCTGAGTTGTGGGCATAAGCAGGTAGACAGCTTCGAAATCGGGTTGCGGGTCCCGCCGTTTGGAAATGGATTCTATCACTGTTGGTTAAACGGTGAGGACAGATGCGATGGTAGTTCGACAGAATCGGGGCGTACGGGTGACATTCTCCTCCAGGATGTCGAACTGCTTCAGAACGGATTGTAACAATCTTTGAGAATGTTCGTCTATAACGAGGATTTTCCATTTGCCGGGCGGATTAACGGATCTTATCGCATCGAGAAATTCTACGAGGCGAGCGATTGTGAAACCATTAGCGTCGCGACAGAGGGGGGAACGAGTAGCGTACTGTTACGAACTGTGGTCAGGAGGGAAGACATGAAAATATGGAGATAAGTTACTCTCCGAGATGAAATCAATAACACCTAATCACGCGAGAATCAACATTCCGATCCGAATATTAGACAATTTTGTACGCTAATAGTCCCAGTGATATATACTACTAGTATCATAGCAGATTGAGCAAGATACCGAGGCCTGCAAGGCACAGAGCGGT